GCGAAAGCTGGCAGATAACTTGGCTTGGACTGTCAAAACGAAGGGAATCTATAAAAAAAATTTTATGAAATCGTTAAAACTAAGTAAATGCGATGCCTCGTAAAATACAAACAGATATTGTTCTGGCTGCCACTACTTCTGTATGGAGTAATGAACAAGTTATCAAGAGTAACGAGTGCTGTTTACTTATGCATGCATGTATTTCGCTTCAAGGATGCCTATTAAATTTGACTTTGTAAGATAAAAATCCAACCCCAAACGCTTGGCTCATATGACAGTCGAATACAAAATGTCATAAATCATTAAAAAAATCGCCCTGCCAAATCAAAGTCTACACAACGCTATTAAATTCGGGACCTTAAAGCCAATATGGATTGTCCACAACGTTTTCGTAGGCAGGGGGCTTTTGTTTTGTGTCATGGAAACATTATTAAAATTTTTAAATAGTTAGTTCTTGCCATTCTTTGGGTTTGAATGCCATTATACGCTAAACCTTTCGTAATTCTCAATCGATCTCAAAAAGTTTTACACAAATGGGAAACCAATAAATATAGTAATAATTAAAAAAATTTAAAGTTCAATAGCTTCGAACAATTTTTGTTTTTACCAAAAGTTGACAAAGTTTGACATTTTTACAAAAAAAAAAAAAAATGAAATATGCCAGATTCATAGTTTTTTATTAAATCAAAATATGTTCATCGTGATTATAAGTAATATTTCGAATGGTACCAAGCACGTATAGATCCAAATTTGTAGCCGGGTAATTACCCGGCTTTGCTTAGGTCAGGTTTGTCTTCATATTTTAAACGGTACTTTGTCACCCATTTTCTGGCCGTGGGAAATTTTAAATTGTTATGTGCCAGCATGTGAACTTATTTTAACTCAGCGGAGTGGATTTTTCGCAATCAACTTATCAGCTTTAAATTATCCAACATGTGGGATGAAAATAAGAAAGTTGTTAAAAATAGTTTTCCACCTATTTTTCGGGAATGGGTTGGATGCTTCCAAGTCGGTAAATCTTTAATGCATTCTTCTAGAGTTTTGAAAATGAATTTGAAATCTATGGTATATGTCTTCTCCTATTCCACCTATTTTTCGCAATTGCACGTGAAATGCTTGAAAGCTCCTTGGCGAGTATTCAAGGCAACTACAGTAGAAAACTCAGCTGCAGAAATCAGTTAGACAGGACGAAAAGTTATATTATACATATATATAATAGATAGCTTTTAATGGAGTTCTACGCTTAGCTGAGACTCTACCAAACTCAACAATCTGCAACAAATGCAAACTTTTTGTTTGCTACAGCATTTCCAGCCTCAATAGCAATGGGGTTTTTGCAAAACCATCTTAGACAATGACTGGCGTTTAATACGTTAAATTTTGTGCAATTTACAACCGCAGATTTTGGCATAGCTGAAACAGCGGACGCACATGACGTATGTGGAATATTTTATGCGAAAGAAATGCGAAGGATAAAGTTTTGTGGCGCGTTCGCGTCACATTGTTGCCGCTTGCAAGTTGTTAAAATGAAACAATTTGTATTTTCATTTCTAGGCAATGATTTGTTGTTGTTTTTTGTGCAGTTGCTTTGTTTTATTGCTGCAACTGCGTTGCGCAGACAATTGCCAAATAATTGCATGCAAGCAAATCTGCAATTAAATCAGCTTCTGCTGCGGTTGCTTTTGCTGCTGCTGTTGCTATTGCAGTTACCTAGATAAACACACACACGCAAATGAATGCAAAACCATTTTCAAAGAAGTACAACAATTTTTTTCTTTAATTTTAATAAATAAATGAGAAAAAACTGGGCGCGAAATGCACTTAACTCATTTGCAAGCCGCACAGAAATGCGCTTAAATAAATTAAAATGCGGCAGCCCTGACACTTAAACACATATAAGCGAGGGCAAAAAAAAAACAAACAAAAACAAAAAAAAAATAAAAAAATTATCAGAGAAAAAGCAAAAGCAAACATGACAGACAAAGGACAAAGTGTCCTGGCAACCTCTTGCGCTTTCGGCTGAATGCCCATGAAAGGCAGTGAAAGTGCGCCAAGCAAGGAGAAGGGCGTAAGGCGTGAGGCGTGAGGCGTAAGGCTGCTGTCAAGATAGTCAGCTGTTGGGGGCACCTCAAAGGTGCCAGCTGCAAGTGTCGCACTAAGTAGTTGCTGGCAAGTCGGCCTCATCCGGTGCCTCGCACAGCCAGACAAGCACTTAAAATGTCGCAGTTGCCATTAAAAAATTATATGTATATATACACATATATCAAACAACGAATAATGAAATAATAATTAAAAGCAGGCGGCATTCTATGGGCGGGCGGTCGGACGGGTGCTGCAAGGCAATGCAAGGACCTTCATTTGTTGTCCATAAAGTGCACAAATTGAAGCGACCACAAAATGCAGACGCAGAATTCAATTAAGCAGAGTATCCAAGTGGGCGTGACTATGGGCGTGGGCGTGGCTCTAATGAAGAAATTATGAAGTGCAGTAAAGCGCAGAAACGACGACCAAAGCTCAAGCAAAAAGTCAAGAAGGCCAAGCAACAAAAACAAACCCAGTGAATGGACTCAGCCGGAAATGGACATAAAGATGGAAATGAAAATGGAGATTGAGAGACTGCCACGGCGAAGGCAACGACGACAGCGACACTGTGATTGAGCTGGCCTGGGGCGAAGGAAACAATAAAATGCAGCCAGCGGCAAAGTTGCACGGCAAAGAAAAATGGACAAAAGACGCAGGAAGCAAATTGTAAAAGCCAAAACGAGTTACAATCTTTGAATATTTGATTTGTGCTAATCATTATTGAATATTTTGTTTTTATACCCTGTGTCCATTTGGAAATAGATAAGAGCGGATGTCTTGTCTTTAGGCATATGTATGTGACTTTTCTTTAAAAAAGAGTAATTATATTCGTCATGAATATCAACTATCGAGGTGGTCTAACCTTGGTTGTCTGTATGTCATACCAGTCTTTGTCTGTCCGCCTATCTATCCGTTAGTCTATTGTCCGTATGACTGTGTCTGTCTGCCTTTCTATATGAACGCATCTTTATACGGATTTTTAGGAGCTAGATACTCCCGCTTTCATAATCTGTTATCAATGATTTGATATAATTTTGATCTGTACGGGCAATGGGAGAACCTATGTTTTTCGTTTCATTTCTCTAGATTTATGGGACCATACAGATGAGAAGACAAACACAACATGGCGATCTGTTATATAGTATGCCCAAAAAAAAATTATGCCCTGTCTTAACAATTTTTAAGACGTACAGGCTACAGATAGCTGTGATAGTGTTGTAAAGTGCGTCATAATTCGTTTCTCTACGCCGACGACCAATGTAAATAATTAAAAATATGAGATATATCATATGATATGGTATATATGTTAAATGTTAAATAGCCGAATATTGAATAAGTTGAGTTATAAATTGGTTAAATTATTATTAGGCTGAGACGGTGTTGTACAACGCACATTTTGAGATGCCCGCACATTAAACTTTAATTCATGAAATTAAGCAAATTGCGGCAATGATTTAAGTGCAAAATCATTTTCCATATTACAAAAAATTGTCGAAAAGTCGTTTATCAGAAGAGGCTGTGTGGAGGAGGAGCAGTAGAAGGTGGGGCAAAGGTCGCGAGCTGGCGCGGAAGCCAACTTGTCATTCATCAAACTTTTTCAATAAAACTTTTGCGCTGCTCATCGCTGGCCAAACCAGACGGAGCTGAAAATCTGACGCTCATTTCGGGGGTAGCCAAAAGCCAAAATCCGATCCCGGTGGCAAAGTAGATTGAAATTTGTCTACATTTCGGCAGAGCTACGGATATGGATATGCACGCGAAGCTGCGGATGTCCTTCGAGCGGCTGTCACTGGATGAGTCTGTGCAAAAGTTTTTCCTGCCATTGACTGCCAGATCCGCCGAATGCCACCACTCGAGTGTTTCGATTCACGTTCCATATCTGCTGCTTCCAAGAGCTGTCATTGTCAGGATGCTCCGCCTCCATATCTTCCCTACCAGGACTGCTGCTCAATAAACAATTCAGCTTGCAGCTTGGAGATATTATGCTCGTATTGTCATTCCCATCGATTCGCTATTTTGCAAAACCTGCATTCAATTTGAGCACGAGCCATGCAACTTTTATGTTAACCTCATCGTTTTGCCAACAGCTCGATGATGCCAAAGCACACAGCGACCCCAAAAAGAAGAGTAACAACAACAAAGGAACTGAAACTGGCAGCAGCAGAACGTGAGTTCTCCCCGGGTCGATGCAATGACACTTGAAAGCATTCAACAATTTCTCGAGAACGTGTAGTGTGCTCTTTAAGTAAGAAAATTGGAGCGATCAACAAGAAATGCCAGATACCCTGTACATACTGTAACTCAGACTTCCGTCCTACGAAAATCTTCCTTGATCAAATAACGTATACGCCTAAAGATAGGTGCGCAAGACAAAGAGTTAAGTAAGGCAAGTCTATATATAAATACTTTGTTACGTTTAGGATGTGGCTCTCTTACAAGTGTTAGACCATACATATAGACTGTAATTTGCAGACCAAACCAGAACTTGGTTTTCCAAAACCAGGAATCCAGTATTTGGCTGGTTTGGCTTATCGTTCATGGTAAAAAGTATTTTGTAATTCGGGGCTCGAACCTGTTCACCTCAAAACTATTGTGCAGCCTTTTTTAAAAGAGAGCGTTGCCAGTTGATGCTTGAAGGACACGCGACATCAGATAAGTGAGAAGCAGGGTATTAATCTCACACTAATCACAGGTTATGCGAGAACAATTGTCGAATCCTTTGAAAGTATTATCGACGCTCCGCGAGTGGCAAAAGAAAAAACAACAACTGCCAACGACAATGCATGCATTTTTATATGGCAACATTTCTTTTCCTTTTAGAGTAGGCGATGCATCCGCGAGATATGATATGGGCGTGGATACTAAAGAAGCAGCGGAGCTGTGACATGAACCACATTAGTAGCATTAGTCGGGGTTAGTCAACGCGAGAGCGGGGTTGTTAGCGGATGGAAAGGGGGAATCCGCTTACGCTTGGAGATACAGCCCCAGGCCAAGAGGAGCGCAGTCAGTGCTAAACAAGGTACATAGAGAAAGTGAGAGACAGAAAGAGATTGAGAGAGAGAATGAGTACAACTTAAAAGTTTTGCAAAAAACTAAAGATCAAAGGGATGTGAACGGGAAACGGCCGGGCTACATTGCTTACCATTCTGTGCTGCGCTGCCCTGGAACAGATTACGCAGATAGCTGATCAGGCGTCGATGCAGTGGCCGGTGGCGATGACGCGAGGATTTGCGCACCGATGAGGATGACTCCTGGCCGCCACCTTCGCCCTGCTCCACATCGTCCGTATCGGCTGCTTCCTTGCCGCATTGCGTGGCATCCACAATGATCTCAATGCTGCGCTGTGTGCTGGACTTTTTGAGATGGACGCCGGCGCCACCAGAACCACCGACACCTCCACCACCACCTCCGCTGCTGCTAAACGCTGCCAAAGCGCTGCTGCTTCCGGCTCCAGCGCTGGTGGCAATCGTGCCAATTAGTGCATCCGTGGCACAGCTGCCCGTGCCCGCAATGCTGCTCACGATGTTGTCGCGCGAGCTGTGCGCCGGCTGCTGCTGTATGATGCGACTGTTGCCCATGGCGCCGGGCAGCTGGCGTCCATGACCGGCGCCGGGCAGCTCGTTAACCGTGCCATTGCTGTGACTGCCGCGATATATTAGCTCCGTCTCGTTGGACACTTGGCGCAGCGCATGCAGCCCCAGGCCCGTATGTGAGGCGCTGCTGGCCATGCCACCAGCACCAGGGCCGGCACCGCCACCGCCGCCGCCGCCGCCACTGGAGCCGCCACTGCCATTGAGACCTGTGTAGTAGGCGCTATTTGGTCGCTGCGTATGCTGCACCTGAGGCCCGGCCATTGCGCACTCTGCACTTAGCACTGGAGGATCGGTAGCTGTCGCTGTCTCAGTCGCAGCTCGAGCGGATCGGCGGAGCAGATGAGCGGATCGACGCGTCTAGTTACGTGTTAGGCGCCTGTCGATTCGGTTTGTTAGTAGTTTTAGTTGCATTGCGATCATTTTATGCAATTACATTTTGGCCACTTTTGCGGTCTGCGCTCTACGATCTAAGCTCTTGGGTTAGACTCTGGCTGGGACTAGGCGTTAGTTATTGCGTTTGGCTTTTGATATTTGCTTTAAGCGTTTTTTGCGCCTGGCAGTCAGCAGTTGCTCCAACTTCAACTTTAAATTCTCAACATCTGCATGAGGAGAAAAAGAGAAAGATTGGGGAAGAGAGAGAACAAGACAAAATATCAGAAGCTTGTTAATTCAAATTAATATAAGGTTTGCATTAGTTTACTTTTAACAGCCAGCAGCAGCAGCAGCAATTGCTTTTTCGTATGTGTGTGTGTGTGCGTGTGTGTGTGTGTGTGTGTGTGTGTGTGTGTGTGTGTGTGTGTGTGTGTGTGTGTGTGTGTGTAAGAGACTGCGTGTCAGCATGTTTGTGACAAATACATGCATACATATCACGTATATGCATATATGAACCTGGCATATTCAACCCAATTTAGAGACGTGAACTAGCCTATATTGTAAAGCTTTAATTTGAAGAGTTTTTGTATTGCACTTGAATAGTGAAAAATTGCTGGTTCGAAACCATCAAAAAATGCATTATTCTAACACATATTTTCTTTTCTTATTTTGATTATATAATTAATAATAAAAACAAAAGAGACTGAAAAATGAAAGTTAAAATAAATTTATTAGATCTCGAAGCTGGTTGCCGTTAATATTAATATGCAGTGTATTCATTTTACATTCGTTCTGCTCAGATTCTCATTAGTAATAGATAAAGATAAAGCATTCGATCAAAGCAAGCCAGGTAGCGAAATTCATTTGGCAATTGCTTTCGATGTAGGGTTTTAGTGTTCATTTATTTAGTTAAGTCCGAACGGATCAGTCCGTGTAAATTTCAAAAGTTTTGTTTTTATTTGTTTGTCCTTAATCCGTATTCGGTGGCCTTCTAAAATGAAAAACGATATAGACGAAGACAAACCCTTTAATCCATTCTACATTGGGCCCCACCCAAGCAAGGCATGCGCCATTCCCGAAACTCTGCCTCGTGAATGCTCGCCGGACTGCATAGCTCCGAAAGTTGGCGGTGTTGAGGCTGTTGGATCGGAAAGTGCTGGCAAAGGAGTCGGTAGTCAGGGTACCCCCGGTAAGGGAAATGAGAGTCTTAGTGGAGAGGCACCTGCGTCCAATAGCTCAAATCTGGCAACACCCTGCGCTCCGTATCCTTGCTATGATCGCAGCAAGTAGCATAGATACGGATCAAGCGACATAACAATTATCTAAATATAAGCTCAAATTTAAATAAACCAAGCTCAAACCAAGCTGAAAGCTGAGATATTTCTGTAGACTGCTCGAAAGTCCTTTTTTCCTCAATTCAATTGCAATGTGAATGAGGTTAAATGTACGGCTTGTCTTTATAATACGGATTTATTAGCTAATCGTAACAGCTGTTTGCCTAGTGAAAACGAGTATATTAGTTTTCTGAAATGTAGCTGGATACCTGAACGTGGGTGACGGGCACATAGTAGAATCGATATCGACAATTTTCGAGCTCGAATCTTAAAATTTTGTTAAAGACCTTAAAGACCTAAGGAAGCGAGCCAACAAAAATGTATATCTTTTAAAGCCACATTTTGAAAGATTTACCAGACAAGAGTGAATATTACTCCTCCCAACTGATTGATGAGCTGTGAATCAAGTTGTGCACAAGAATTTGAACTTGAATCTAGAATATAAACAGAATAAAACTGAGTCAGTTAGACTCAACTGCAGCGCATTTAATTGCAATTTACAAATACGCCATGCAATGTGACATGCATGTTAAATAGCATGTTAAACTTCCAATGCAGTTGTGCCCAAGAATTTAAATTCGAATCTAGAATATGAGCAGAGTATGTTATTAAGCAGTTAGAGTCGACTGCGATGCAAAGCGCCATGCATGTTAAAGCGCATGTTAAACTTTCAATGCAGTTGTGCACAGGAATTTGAACTCTAACCTAATTTCTCTTTACTTATGTTATGCAAGTCAAAACCAATTGTAATATTCATAATTGAATTTAGCTTTGAATCAATAGCAGTATGGATTACAATGTAAGTTTGCATATTTAAATATTTATCATATTCTGGGCCATATTTAAAGTTTGCTTTTAGCTGCAACAATTCAATGCGATTCAGCTAGTGTTCATTGCGATTTGGCTAAATCCAGCTGATTCAGTTGTTTGCTGTTCTGCTGTAACTGCATCTTTGATGCCTCGCTATCAACAGTAATGCATCAGCAGTACTCAGCAGCAGCAGTAGCAGCAGCTGTAGCAGTAGCAGTAGCAGCAGCAGTAGCTGTATGGGTATCGATTGCTTTGCAATTTCAATTTACATTGGCATCGCATCATGGCGTTCTGTTGCGTTTCTCGAGCGTATTGCTCTTGCAAATTGAATGAAGTTCAAATTTATTATTTATTGATAGACTTATGCAAGTGCGCAACAACAGCGGCAGTGTTGGTAGGTGGGGAAGGGGGACGAGGAGGAGCAGGTACTTGAGACGCAGCTTATGGTTGCTCCTTATAAGTACTCATGTATGCATATATATCTGTGCTTTGTGTGTGTGTTTGTGTGCGATTGTGTGCTTGCATAGCCTGGCACTTGGCAAAATTGCTAACACGGCTGACTTCTTTGGCAAAAACTGTTCTGCCATGCGACCTGCTGCTCACCTGCAGCTGCAACCGCTTTTGCCACCCACCTTTCACCGCCCTCTTACAAAATGATTTATGCATTTCACCCGTTTTGTTGTCGACATTTCGCACAGAATACAACAACGGCAACGTTTAATGTGATTTTCTTGTTAAATGGAGACGCAAGCAGCAGCTGAAAAGCGTCCTCTACAAAAACGTTTTTCACTTCGTTTCGCTGTTTTTCTTTTTTTCGGACAGTTTTAATTTTTCACAAATTGTCTGCACTTACGTCCGCTTTGTTAAGCGCTTGAAGTGCGCCTTCGTTGTTGTTGCTGTTGTTGCAGCTTTCGTTGTTGTTATTTTCGGGACTTTTCAGAATTGTAAACGAGCTTAAACGAATGTGTTTATAGTTTTGCAGTTGAGTTCTCAGTTTTCCATTCGCAATCTACAAATAAGTAATTCCATTTCGCATGCTTCCATGTCAAATCAAGCACTCACCTGACACCAGCATAACTTGTTCTTGTTATTCATAAGCGAGTGATTGAAGCTTGTTGATGAAAAAGCATTTCATTATTCGGCTATCATGGGGATAATATTGTGAAATTATCTAAGCGAACAGTAGTTCTTGACAAGCACTTGAAAGTACATTTAAAAATAATAATAACTTAGTAGCTCAATAAAACGATCATCTATAAATATTTTAATCAAGCGTGAAACCAGTCGTTATCAGAACTTTAAAATATTGGCTACCCGTTTTTCAAAGGTAGGCCTAAAATAGATGTCGCTCTGAGTAATCGAATAGATCTTTGTTCCATCTATGAGTCGGTTATTCAAAAAGGCAACTCAAGTTTAGTTGCCAGGCACCTATTGATTAAATAACTGATTAATTGCTGATCTGGAGAGGCTAGGAAGCTGACATTATTAAGGCACCTTCCTTAGCCAAAATGGTTGAACTAGCAAAAGAGAGTGCGCTGGTTCAAATTCAGCCGGAAAATTTAATTTGTTATTATTCACAGAAAATAAATAAAAATAAATCACAATAATTAATAAATAAAAATTTTATATAAATGGGTGTTTATTTTGAGCGGGCATTCCATCCGTCCGAGATTGACGCGAAATACAGAAACAATTTAAGATTTTTGTATGTTTTACATTATTTCATTTACCCGGGCAACGCCGCTTAATTTCTTCTGTGACTTTATGTATGCTTATTTGTAGTATTTATTAAATTCACAACTATTTAATTCAATGTTTTTGTTACAATATTTTTTGTTTTGCTGTTGCATATAGTTGTCTTATTTCTTACTTTTGTGTTCTCGACTCACTAATTTGCATTCATAAGAACTTCTATTCATTTCAATGCAAAATATTTATTTCCTTTGGCGCCATTATGAGCTGTCAACAAATCAAACATGAAGACTTAATTTATTGGCATGTCGGAAATGTCGGAATGCCGAGTGAAGAGAATGGAAAACAATGCATAAATATCTATTAAAATGGGATTGAAATAAATTATAGTTTACATAGCAGCGGCAGCAGCAGCAACAGCACTACAGCACTAACAGCAGCAGTGGCAATGGCAGTGGCAGCGGTAATAATAATGTGGTAACACAGAGGTTAATAGCAGGACGAAGAAGCAGCACAGGCCAGGACAGAGTAAAGCTGGAAAACGTGGGTTGCCAACAATATACATGTAGGCAGCATGAAGGTCAGATGACGCTCTTCGAAGAAGCTAAGCTGGGCAGGCGCTGGGCACTGGAGTGCAAGGCAAACACTTCGATGGGAAGGCAAAATCAACGACGTGAACAGAGGAAATTAAGTGCATGGCAGCGAACCAGCAGCAGCGGCAGCAGCAGGAGACGATGAACGACGGACGATAGACGGTTGGGGTGCTGCTGCTGCTGCTGTTGGTGCTATATAAAATGTTGAGGACAACAATGGGACTCGCATACTTAGAAGCACTTGAGCATAAGAAAAGAAAGCAAATCGTGAGGAAATGAAGCTGAATTTTATTATAACAATACACACACAGGCAGTAATCGTGTGCGGCTGCAGTTGCTCCGCTACGGTTCAGCTTTTGGGCAACGTTTATGATGCCGGAAGGCGAATAAAGCGGATATGCCAGTCAAGAAAACCGAAATACGAAAAAGGTAAACCTAAACTGTGCGAGTCTGGCAGCTAAAAATGATGATGGCAACATAAAAGTGGTCCGGCAGCTGCCACGTCGCGAGCGTACCCAAGTTACCTGTGTAGCTAATTGATAGCACACGTACCACAGCTATTGTGCAAGGTGATTGTGGTGGTGCTTGCACTTCTCAAGACACTGCCACGCATTCCCAGCTCAAATGTCAAGTGCACTTTCTTGAAGCGATGCTGTTCTTCTGCCTCTTCCAACGTGCGACATCGCACACAACCACAAGGAAGCCTGATGCAAGCAATCGCTTCTCTGAAAATATGCGCAATATTCCAAAAGGGAAGGTAAAAGGAAATTGGATTTTTGTTGACATTATTTTACAAATATCCGGGCGTACAAATAGCTATAACAATGGGCTTCTTGTTGTTGCTGCTGCTGTTGTTTTTGACCATTTCTGGCCAGCTTTTCACACGCACACACCAACACACACACACATACACACGCATTCCCGACCTGATTTGGCTTAAATTTATGCAATGAGTTATTTGCGAGCTGCTACTCAAGCACATCCGATCCAAAGTGGAAGCTGAAGCAGCATCTGAAGCTGCCTTGCCAATTTCAACAGAAATGCCAGCCATTGTTTGTGTGTGTGTGTGTAAGATGGCGGTAAACATATTTTGATTTTGCATAATAAATTACCGTGTTCTCTGGCACAAGTCGTCAGCCAAGAGAGCATCGGAACGTCGCGCCAGACATTGACCTGCTTCTTGAGCCACTGATGCACTTTTCATACCATTTTAATTTTCTTGCTGCTTGGTGTATTTCGTTTTTCCATATTGCATTTCCCGCGTATTGTTTATGCTTGAGAAATTGCACGAAATACCACTTAGTTGGTTGGCGCACAAGTGGTGTACACACACACACACACGTAGATTTTTATGTGATTCTGACTATGTTGCCTGTCAGCTGTGAAAGCCAATCAAATATTCGCGCTGGGTTTAGTTACAATAAATAAGTTTTGCTGGAATTTCGAGTAACTTGAAATTATTCTGGCATGAAGTACTTATGTTTTGCTTTGTGTGCGGACCGACGAGCAATGCCCTGTGTTAGGCAGACAGAGACATAATAGGATTTGCTAAACCACACGCATTGATTAACTCGACTGTGTTGATGCTGATCAAGATAAAAATAAATATATATACGACCCTTTTAATATGTATTTCAACAACATCTTGATGCCTCTGAAACAAGAAAAATCTGATATTTTTAGCAAGTCAAAGCTTAAATACCTTATTAGAAATATGGCTTTATGGTCTTGTAGATTAGCAAATGTAATAATGAAGCTCGTAATCGTTGTATTCGGTAAATATATCTGAAAAACAGAATATTTTTCCAAAGACTAATTTGTCGACCAATTCTTGTTTTAGGTGCGCTATCATATAGCTCTATATTGAAATTGTTATATACGATATAGATTAAATTTAATTATATAGAAGGAGGATGTTGAAGCTCTCAAATGCCGAGCTT